CCTCGCGAAAAATAGACTTGTAAAAGTAAAATAAGTGTTTTTGGGCTCGATTAAAATAAGTGGACATATACATTTTTGTGAAAACAGTCAATAAGAGACAAAATGTATTCGAGGAAAGTGCGCCTAGCGGACTTGAAAGTCGTCGAATTGAAGCAAGAATTGGGGGAGAGGGAGCTGGATTATTCTGGAAAGAAATCGGTACTCCAGAAGAGACTGTGGAATAACTTGAATGAATCAAGAGAAGATTCCCAAAAATATTAATTCTAAGTTTCTGGGGGTAATTTGATTTCAATAATGAGCAAACTCGATGAGAATACCAAATCGCTGAAAAATGAACTTCAAAAAAGTCTGGAGGAGAAGCTTCTGGAAAATTCGGAGAGTTTGGAAGACAAGCTTCTCGAAAATTCGGTGAGTTCAAAAAATGAACTTCAACATAATTCGAAGTGCCTTGAACAGAAGCTTCTAGAAAATTCCAAAAGTTTGGAAGATAAATTTCTAGAAAATTCGAATAGCTTGAAGAAAGAACTTTTAGAAAACGCAGAAGGCTTGAAGAAAGAACTTTGTTGTGTAACGAGTCTACTCGAAGAAAGGATAGAAACCATTAAGACAAAGGTAGACAAAATCATGAAGGAAATTGATACGGAAGTAGAGGAAATCAAAGGGGAGATCAAAGGTGTAGTTGAGGGGGAAATCATCAAGATGAAGGAAACAATTAGCAAGTTGTAAAACCAAATCGTTAATTCTGCCCACACCACAGAAACAGGTACCAAAAACTCGATTCCGAAACTGAGTTTTAACATGGAATAACTTCAAAATGCAAGGAAAAATGTCAAAGTCAATTCTGAACCAGGAAAGCTCTCCATGAAGCCGCACCAATTCGACGAAAAAACTCCTTGGGCAAATTACCGCCGACAATTCGAAGCTGCGGCCAGAGCGGATGGATGGAATGCAGGAGAAAAGGCGGTACCATTAACACTGGCGTTGCGTAAAGAAGCAACGAATATTTTGCAAACCAGGCTATGACTAACTTATAAAGCATTTTGAGCTACGGTATGGGCAGGTCCACCTCGGGCACGTTTACCATTCACAGCTGAAGAACCGCTGCCAGAAATCAGGAGAATCTCTACAGGAATTTGAAGCCGGTATTGCTCGATTGGTTCGTCTGGCATATCCTGCTACACCGGAAAATGTAATGGAGCGGTTAGCAGTTCAGGAATCCTTGGACGGACTTCGCGACCAAGAAACGAGGCAGGCCTTCACACTAGCTCATCCCAAACATCTCGTGGATGCACTGACAAGCGCCCTGGAGTTTAAGGCTGTAAAAGAATCTTGCAAGAGCCATAGAAAAGTCCAAACTATCGTGAAAGATGGACAGGTGCCTGCTTATTTTGAGGCCACCATTAGAAAGGTAATGAAAGAAGTGTTGCCTGAGAGAAAACAAATAAAATGCTGGAACTGTAAGAAAATTGGACATGTGCGTAGCAAATGTCCATCATTCAAAGAACCAACACCAAATCAGAAAAACTACAAGAGATCGATGAGAAGGAGCATTCGTAAGCTTGAACCCAGCAAGCCCCCGTAAAAAACGCATATGTTGCCATTGTCCAACGATAAAAAAAAGGTGTTTTCGTACACGGCCTCATCAACAAAGAGCCTTGCAACATGCTGCTAGATACAGGTGCGACAAGTACCATTCTTGGGCCAACCTTTGTCAAAACACCGGCAAAAATTGAACTGTCAAGTTAAAAACTACGCAACGCAACAGGGGAGCCAGCCACTGTACTTGGAGATCTACCAGTTGAATTGGTGTTGGGCAGCACTGAATTGAACCATCGTGCATTGGTGGTGGACATCGAGGACGATGCGATTATTGGAATAGACATAATGAATTCCAGAGTGTTCGAGCTGAATATTCAAGGCGCGTCCTGCGTGTCAGCGGAGAATAGCTGGTGCTTCATGGAAGAAGCGAAAAGATGATCAGGGTCCTGTTGGCTGAAGACGTGTGCGTACCTGAGAGGGAAGTGCGAGCAGCGGAAAAGGGGTAATGTTCGAGCCCAAAGTATACGATGACAAAATTGGACAAGAAATCGCATTGGGGAAGACCTTGTTGCGTGTTGATGAAGTTGTGCCGGTCAGGGTCATGAATGTCAACTACTATCCCGTGACCTTGAAGAAAGGAACAATGCTGGGGCACTGTTCGTCCATTTCCTCTGTGATACGGAGTGTACGCATTCCGGTTAGCCAAGCCAACAACTTGCCTAAAGAGTTGGAGAAGTTGATTGACATTTCCTCCAAGGACATATCACCAACTCACCGATCCAAATTGAGGGAGTTAGTCAAGAAGTACCAGGAAATCTTCGATATTGGAGAAGGAAAAAGCGGCAGAACGAATGTGGTTCAGCACAGAATCGACACTGAGAATGCTCGACCAATCTGGCAATCCGCCAGAAGACTCCTTGCTAAGAAAGAATAGGCAGACAAGATAGTCAGTGATGTGGAAAAAGGAGTATCGAGCCTTCTGACAGCCCCTGGTCTTCCCCAGTCGTAGTAGTGAAGAAGAAGGACGGCTCGACAAGGTTCTGCGTGGATTATCGCCAACTAAATGACGTGACGAAGAAAGACAGATACCCTCTTCCAAGAATCGACGGCACCCTAGACACGCTAGTCGGCTCCACAAACTTTGGATTTGAAGAGTGGATATTGGCAAGTTGAATTGGCCCCAGAAGATCGAGAAAAGACAGCTTTCACCATCGGCTCAGGATTGTGACAGTTCACGGTTATGCCATTCGGGCTTTGTAATGCTCCAGCGACCTTCGAAATATTGATAGACACGATTCTCAAGGGACTCTCATGGAAAACATGTCTAGTGTATCTCGACGATATAATCGTGGTCGGAAAATCGTTCGACGATCACTTGAAAAATCTGGAGGATGTATTTATGCGTTTGAGGAGTTCTGGACAAGTCCCAAGAAATGTCATCTGTTCCAGAAAGAAGTCCGTCACTTTGGCCACGTTGTGTCTGGGAAAGGAGTGGTGGTAGAGAAACAAAAGGTCAAATCAGTTAAGGATTAGCCTATTTCAAAAGACATACATCAGCTTCCTTGGTTTGTGCACCAACTATCGCAGATATGTGCTGGGGTTTGCCAACATCGCCAACCCATTGACCCGACTCACAGAAGGACAGATCCAGTTCCAGTAGTCCGAAGAATGCCAAGACTCATTCAAAAAGTTGAAAAGATCTTTGATCAACGCTCCTGTTTTCAGCTATCCCCTACCGGACGGAAAATTCATTTCAGATACGGACGCCAGCAACATGGGACTTGAAGCAGTCATTTCTCAGATCCAGAAAGAACAGGAAAAAGTTATTGGCTACTTCAGCAAAACCCTCAGTAAACCAGAGCGCAATTATTGTGTCACAAGGCGAGAGCTGTTGGCCGTTGTCAAAGGTGTAGAGCATTTTTACAAATACGTGTATGAAAGAAGATTCCTGTTGGGAACGAACCATGCAGCTCCTAAATGGCTTCTGCAGTTCAAAAATCCCGAGGGCCAAGTAGCGCGTTGGATCGAGAGACTTCAAGAATTTGACTTCGAAATAGAACATCGAGCTGGGACTAGCCATAAAAACGCAGATGTCCTGTCACGGAGACCATGTCCCGATGACTGCTCACATTGCCGACGAGCAGAAAAGAAGGAAGCATCCATTTGTAGAACTACAGCTGTAGACGACAACTGAGAGGATAATAAGATTAAGAAAGACCAAGAGACCAAGACACAGAGAAAGACCCAGATCTTGGTTTAGTCATCGGATGGAAGAAAATTAATCAATGACCATCGTAGCAGGAGGTAGAAGGTTATTCGCCAGCGGTTAAGTCCTACTGGAGCCAATGGAACTCCCTTACCTTGGAAAACGGGGTTCTGAAGCAGGTGTTAGAGTCACGACAGTGGAAAAGAAAGGCGCCAGACAATAGTACCAAAAAACAGACGACGAGAGGTGCTCAAAGAAATCCATGATAGAGTCTCTGGAGGACATCTGGGAGTAACGAAAACTCTCCAGAAAGTGAGACAACGGTTTTACTGGGGTAATTGTCTAGCCGACGTCAAAGACTGGTGCAGGAAGTGTGCTCTATGTGCTGCCAGTAACGGACCTCGTATACGACCGAAAGCTCCAATGCGCCAGTATAACGTGGGTTGTCCCTTTTAAAGAATCGCCGTCAAAGCCAAGAGAATGAGACATCATTGCTGTTTCTCCTTCTTTCTTGCCCTGTCTTCTCAGTACCTCTCTTCCACCAAACTGTCTTATATTTCGGCCTATATTCTTGTTAGATGACTCAATATTTTTATTGTAGACGAGAATGACACCAGAGTCACATGGTGCGTCCCATATTCAGCTTTTTTTAATATTAGGCTTTGGGAAGATTTCATCATTCCACTCACTCATTTTCGAATATGGTTTGAAAACTCATTTTCATTTTTCTCCAAATTTAGTTGTCTCATCCGCAACCTCTCTACTTTCTCACACTTTACGAGTTTGCTTTCGGACACAGATTGAAGCTGAATTTGTGGAATTGGTCGCGATGGTAGTGCGCCCGACTCACGATCGGAAGGCCGTGGGTTTTAGATTCCCGCCTCGACCAGATATTTTTTCGAGAGAATTTATTTGGTTGAAGCTGGAATGATTCTGCAACCGTGTTAGGAATCACACGTACAATAATTTCACCTGAATCCCTTGAACCTCTACATACAACCGCCGTCCATGGCTGCGAGTTATAAATATAATAACTCAGTGACGGTGTAATTCGTGACGAAAATTAATTTGGAAAATATGAGAAAGAGCGTACTGGAGATTGTCAGAGACAAATTTTGAGATTCAATACAGCAGTCGTTGAGTCTGCTTGTTTAGATATGGCTCAAAACGTTAATTAATTCAAAGATTAAGTTGCAAAGCCAACGCATGTCTGTTTGCTTTTTGATCAGCGAGTTAATAACACATTGTTTCGAGAAGTATATAAACTTTGCGATGTTTTCAATATTCAGTTTAACTGCGGAGGCCATCTTGGAGCCCTGCAGTGGTGTTTTCTAATATCATCTCTGAATACTACCGGTAAGTGAAACGATTTTCAATAAATTGATGGATGTAGTAACCGTTGTTACTACGTGGTAGGATATCATAATGAAAAGAGAAATGAAAATTTCTATGTTTTTTACCCCTTTTATTCGTAACTAACGTTACTGCAGTTTCGTCCTATACGGACATAGACAACAAAGAAAAAAACATAGAAATTTTCATTTCTCTTTTCATTCCGAAACGATTTTCATTAGACGTTGATAAGCAAATAAGCACTATGGGTCGTTAAAGCCGTTTTATATTTTTTACGAGAAACGTGTCGCAGATTGTTTTTTGAATATATTTCTAACACATGTTTATAGTGATTTACACAACTAATTATGATAGTGGGATTGTATCTCAGCAACTATATAGGCTCCTGAGAATTTAAAAAGAAATGCAAGGGTCCAGTGCGCGTTGATTGAAAGATATTTTCCATAATGTTGATATGAACGTATTCCAAAAACACTTTATTGTGAGATTTTCACTAAATTGTTTTACAAAAACGCAACACGTGTTTCGCCATACAATGGCTTCATCTGGCGTGTCTTTCAACTAATTCTACACATTCCATACTAAATATATATATAGTTTATGGAGTACTTGAAATCAAAGTACCTGTAAACGAAGTACCTGGATTTCAAGTAGCTGATATTTTACCTGAGTTTCTAACAAATTAAAATACCTACACTTATGTTCCATTTTCACATTTGAAAAAATATATTCAGTAACGGTTGATATGAATTTTGGAAAGTAAGAAACTACACAGTGGACAAGAGACATTGTTCGAATAGAAGGAACAGTGTATTCTTATTTTTTCAGTTAAGTATCTTTATTTTCTGTCATATCAAAAATCACTATTTATAGTTTCAAAGTTTAAGAACATGGTAAAAAAAAGAAAGAGGAAATTAATATCCAATAAACTCTGAAACAATAAAATGGAAGAAAAATGTTGACCTTTTCAAAGGATATCAATTACAGGATATTCAATATTGTAGTATAAACGCCTATCAAATCTGCTGTTCAGTAAATGCGTTAATAATTTTTCAGTTCGAACACTTTTTACATCATTTCGGCCAATTGAAGTAACTTTGTCAACTGAACCCAGATAATAATGTATTGCTCATGTGTATTCATTGATTCCAACACTTGAACCCTTTCCAAAATACATCAAAACTTTTCAACATTGTCAATTATTGTTAACGGAATAATAGAAAATTCTCTACAATCAACAAATTTTCAACGAAATGGATAATTTTATGGTTATCTCAACAAAGTAAATATTGAAAGTTGAATCTCTTGACTTGAAATGTAAATGCTTTTTTCAGAGATACGGGGTCTACAGTTTGTCTTAAAAATAGACTACTTATCTATTGCTCTGGACCGTATATGCATATGAAATTTGGTGATTGTTAACAGGTAGTTATTGCATTTGTTGACATGCAATTAAGCAGTTTATGTTCATCCTTGGTGTGCACTGCGCATACGGGCAATGATCTCAATGTTTTCATATAAAAAGATTATACGCCACATTTTTGAATTCTTCGTTCAATTTTTAGTAAAAAATTTCTCTTACCTTTATGTCGTATGGGACCCCTTTTTCATAGAAAAAAACGAAACATCTTACCGCGAATTTTTCATTTGCTTAAATCATTATCTAGTAGCGTCGACGCACAGGCTACCTTCAACATTCTGTTAAATGCGAATATTTCAGCGAAATATTCCTAATTTTCAAACTTTTAGTTTGATATAACATTAATATATTCGCTTCCAATTTAAACAAGATTCTTATGGCTGGGAGTTAATCAGATAAGCGAATGAATGTTATTTACGTACTGTCATAGATGACATGAGTGGATTCAACTCATTCCGTGACAAAAAGTCGTGATTTTATTAACGAATTGAGTGTTTGTTTCTCCATATAATTTTATTCGTATTCGGTACTGAAGAGCCGATGAGGCAAGTGTCTTACGGCGAAACATCGGACTACCAATGAGGATGACAGTGTTTCATGTTTTTTGTCATTGGTTTCTTCGTCAAATCGTTCAAATTCCTATTTTTGAAAAAGTGTTCGGTTCACTAGCAAGACTAGTTTTAGACAACAGTCTATACACAATTTATTATAACCAATCACTTCTGGGCTGAGAAAAATCCGGATGCAATCTCTGAAGCTCATTTTTATCATTAGTTTCCAGTAAATGTATGGCGTGGTGTACTTGATCATTCAATCGGTCCATATTTCCTTCCACAACGGCTAACAGGCGACTTTTACCTTAATTTTCTACAGAAAGAATTACCTGTTCTTCTTGAAGAAATCCCTCTACAGCTGAGACAATACTTCTGGTTCATACATGATGACACCAGACAATGTACTTAAATACAGTATATCCAAATCGTTGGTTAGATAGGGAAGGTACGGAGCTTTGGCCTGCTTCATCGCCGGATTAACATCCTTCATATTTATGCATTGGGAGTTTTCTGTCATCAGTTTAGTTCACTCCCGTCGAAAATGATGAAGATCTGAGGAATCGAATTATAGCCAGCTGTGTGACAATAAAAGAAACCACCAGGATTATTTGCGCGAATACGCTATCAATGAAGCGAAGAGCTGAATCTTGTATCACGTGTCTTAGAGGTCATATTTAACATTTGTTATAGCTTTTCGTTTATTTATTCATTCGTGTTTTTTTGCATGAATACGGCACCTCAAAAGAAAAAAAGACAGTAGAGATTTTTTGTCACAAATTGAACGAGAAATTCAAAAATTACTCTTGGTTTGAAATATCTCAGTGGCGTGCCATGTTTTTTCTTCAAAAGCATCAAAATAATTGCCATCAATTTTCAGGAAAAAATGGTTTTCTTGTAGCGACTACTTACAAATATATTGATCAAACATCAATTGGGTAAAATGTCGAGTTGAAATCAGTTCAAACTAGTTAATTTGTCTAAGGTGAAAAGTGTGTTATTTATATTTTTTCTATAGCTTGTAAATATTTCTAAATTAGTCTGAAATTTGTTAATCAATTTTCTCAATAATCTTTTAGATGCTCTACATAAATATGTCCGATTAATTATGGCCATGCGCAAAAAGTACACACCATACATAACTCAGACTGAAAACAAAATTAAACAATGTATTGCAACGTATTTGAGTAACAAATTATTGTGAAATTTTCACGAAATAGTTCACAAAAGCGAAACACATGTTTCACCATAAATTAATTTTTCAGGTGTGCCTGGTAGTCATATAGAATATGTCTGAGGAAACTATTGTATAATTAAACACGTGTTGCGGTTCAGTAAACTATTTAGTGAAAATCTAACGATGAAGTGTTACTTCAATACGTCACAATACATTTTTAATATGTTTTTAAAACTAAATTATTATTATAAATACATTCTATCCAAAATGAATTGTGAGTTATATCAAAATATCTAGCTAAAACTTTTCATAACTCTATAGTTTTTTGTTGTTCAGTCTTGTATTATTCAGTCACATCCTGAATAACTTCAAGAAAACTTCCTATGAGCAGAGAACATTTAGGGGCAACTTTTCAACCTCCTTCTTCTGGGTATTATAGTATCATCAGAATCTAACATTCTTGACGAAATCGTATCAATTGAGTTCAGTAAATAATTCTAGAATCCCTCACCACAGTTTTTAACCATATTACCTAAGTCTTTCTTTGCAATCATCTTTGTTACCGCCTGGTATATTAGTTCAACGATGAATCGCGAATTTCAGGTCGTATCACTGAATATATGATTTGTTTTCCAGGAAGAATTTTTTTTTTTGTTTTTTGGTTTTTTGTATTTTATTCAATTTTCGTGATACAGATGTTTCCCACTTAGTGTCCTCGTCACCAATACAGCTAATAATGGCAATTCGTTTTGGATTTCCTTCTCCACTGTTAAGGTGATGAAAGGTCTTACGCTGTTGATATGATTAGGAAAGGTGTCTAGTTCTGTATTCCCATGGTTCCATATTATGAAGGTGTCGTCAACGTATCTCAACCAGACCAAATATATGTTGGCTATAACTGGTGGAAGTGGCGATCCCATTGGCAGTCTCTCATCTTGCATAAAGAATTCGTCCTTCAATTGAAAATAGCAGTTTCGTATACATCATACTAGTAATTCCATGATTACTTCTATAGGTAAGTTTGTTCTATCTTCCAAGTCCCCGTCTTCGGATAGTTTTCTCTGTATTTGAAAACAACAGTTTAGAACAGAGCATACTAGTAATGCCATGATTACTTATATAGGTGAGTTTGTTCTATCTTTCAGGTCCCCGTCTTCGGTTAGTTTTCTCTGTATGATTTGAAGTGCTTCTTAGACAGGAATATTGGTGTAGAGGCTTTCCATGTCGGAACTGATCAATTGATCTTGCTCTGTGACTTCAGTTCTATCTGTTCAAAATCTGTTTGAAATCTGTTTTTTTGTTAACCAGCTGTCGCACCCCTACGAACGACAACTCTCAGAAGTCGAAACTTTTGCGAGCGAAAGATTAACGAAGTCTTACCTTTTAAAGTGTTATTCTTAACACGGGTTGGACGATAGTACGTGAAAATCGATCGTTCAGCCTCGGGCTTGAACCACCGACCAACACGGTGGTCAATTCGAGTGAGTGAACAAAGCACCCACCTCAAACCGACCGGCTACAGTCGACAAAATGCCTTGAACTCTTCACAAAACGTCGTGAATTAACTTGGTTTGAAAACTTTTGATTTTTAATTTTTATTTCATTTTGATTGTTCAATTTTCAATTTTTTGACTGATTTTTCATTTCATTGTAATTTCATTCCAGGTTTTTCTCCTTAACATAATTGTTATTTTCAGCTATTCTATTTATTTTCAATTTTCATTTGTTATTTCATATCATATTAGACAATGGAAGTCCGTACTAATGGACTGAACAGTTCCACAAAACCGCAACACATGTTTCGCTAAACAACAGCTTCTTCAGGTCTTTTTAGACACGCCTCCCACCCCGCCCA